ACGACGGCGGAAATAACACTAAAGAATCTAGAGTATCAAACATGTTTATGGTTTCAAGATGCCCACAGAAATAATCTATTTCATCTGAAATTTAAACTAATTTCAGCACAATGTAAATTTTCATCCAAACGGTTATATTTTACATTTCCAGTGCAAGAAAAGACCATCAGTCAGTTGGCTTGTCCCCAGAACTATTATTGTGCATGGGGTGAACACTGTATTCCAGACAAGGAATTTGAGGCGTTAACTGTTGAGAGTAAGGCCTATCCGGGCACAACAAATTGCCACCCTTCAAGCGTGGGTAGCGGCTGCACTATTATTTCCCGAATGGGATGCTTGTTTTACCGTGTATTTTACATCCCTGATCTTATACATTCCTATGAAGTACGTTCCATTGTAGGTCATCAGTGTTCATATACAATAGAGGTTGAACGATCGGAAAATGGTACGTCAGAAGTACTGACATTCCTTTATCAGCCCAAACAAAAGATGGAATTTTTATGGAAATTCAAGGTTCGCTAAATCAACCACAACTTCATTTTTCCGACTCCCTCGTTGTTCGAGTTGGAAATCCATCAGAGGCTTATCTGACGCCATCTAGCCCTCAACATGTTCCTATGGCTGGTTTGGTGTGTCAGATTCAGGCCAATGAAAGCTTCACCAAAAGTTTCATATTTGATCCCGACATCACTAAGTGTGATTTCTTCGAGACAACATTGAGACGTACAAGGAAACCAGATGGCCTTACCCTGATAACCGGCTCAAAGGAAAAAGCCCTTCCACTGGCCAGAGACTTGCACTTATTTTCTATGAGCAAGGGTTCCCTAGTATCACAACTCTTGGCAACTGCACCTGTTAAACTGACAATTAGTTTTAGTGATTACAAGATAATGCTACACACGTCACAAATTTGTCCCAATATTATGGAAAGTGAGGTAACGGCAAAAGGCTGTTATTCTTGGCAGATTTTAAGTGAGCTGAAGTTTACTGCTCATTCCAGTTGCCAAGCTGGAACAGTATCTGTTGAACTTCAAAAAATTGTTTTATACACTCAATCATTTGTATTGGAGACTGAGCCACGAGAATTCGTTATTAAATTTCAGGCTGAACAAAAATGTTATGAGGAAAAATTATGCCTTGTAGCAAGAGAAATGAAGCATTGCAAACTTCTTTCATTTTGTTTAACTGAGCCTAGTATAAATCTCTTAAATTTTAATTGCTCATACACTAAAGTGATAACCAGCTCTGATTCTTCTGGCTCAGGTTTCTTTAACTTTTTGTCTTTTTCCACATTGAGCAATGTATTTTTTGGTTTCAAAATGCTTGGAGCTTTTCTTATTATTATTTTCTTATGTTTAAGCATTACCATCATCTCAACTTGCATTACTTGTTGTAGGCGATGAAATGTAATTTTTATTTTCTATTATTTTGGATATTTTTTTTAATTATTTTTATTTTTCCTCTATATATATTGTATATTTTTTTGCGAAAAGATTTTTTTAATGGAATATCACGATACATAAGTTTCATAGAACGTATCGAACTATTCTTTCCTTTTAATCAAACAAAATTTCTTTAAATCCTATGTATTTTAAACTCTTTTAAATACAAATTATTTTCTTATATATATATATATAATGTGCAAATTTTGTATAAAATGAAATACTAATTATAAATTACCAATTTATTTTGCACNATATATATATATATATATATATATATAATGTGCAAATTTTTTATAAAATGAAATACTAATAATAAATTAACAATTTACTTTGCACAATGTATGTATCATCTACAATGTTAGGATTCTTTTGTCAAATTTGGAAAAATCTTTCGTATAAATAATATTTTATTCCTGTGAATGATTACAAGATCTTCAGGTGTATCTTAATTCTATTGTTATGTATATGTTATATTTTTTTGTTGCATATTATTTATACTGCTTTGTACTTAACTTTAATCGTGCTTATGATGATTGTTTACTTGAAGTTTTAAATACAATGAAAACTATGTTATGTGTTAAATAAGAGAGAGGCTTTCCTTCTGAGTTAAACTGGTTAAGCAAGAATTATTTTTCTTTCTCGGCTTTTGAGGAAGATGTGACGCTTATCGTCACTCAAAATTAAAATCAAGAGAAAGGGCTAAAATTAGATTTCTAGAACATTTCAGAGTCTTCGATTAAATAAAACTACCGTGGGAAATCTCCATCGGCAAATAGTAAGTTAAATACGGATAAAGTAATTCAAATAAACGATTAGGATTAAATCTTACAATGTCACCCCCATCATGGGACAAACTCGAAAACAACAATAACTTTTGGACTTGACCTTTCCTCAGATTTGTAACTCTTTATCACCCAAAAAATACGATATAAAAGCAGCCAAAGGAAAGGATTCAAAAAGCAATCAGAAGCAATCAGCCAAAGTGACAAAAGGCTGAAACCAAAACCATGACTAAACTTGGTAAGTCTCCCTCCATCTATTCTAAAAACACATAAGAATTAATAATGGTAAGTTGAATTAATGATAAATTGAATTAATTATGTTGATACTGATAAATTGAATTAATTGTATATTCTAATTCTAAAATAGTCCTGTAAATTGCTAAATCGGTTCAATATAGTTATGTTATTTCTTAAATTGTTTAAATAATGAAATGTTACTTGTTAAAAGCAAGACTTCTATTTATGCCTTATTTAATTTTATGAAAAACGCCACAATAAACGTTTACTTTTAATAATTGTCCATTTCTCTTTAATCGATAAATTTTTAAAGCTATCGCAATTAAATAGTTTATGATTCTCTCCTTTGCAAAACACGCATAAATTTGAGACGATCGGAAGAGAAACTTTATTCTGCCTATAACCGCAAAACGAACTTTGACCTTGTTTCTCTTTCTGGCAATTAGCCAAGGATGCGAGCACATTTGCTCTTTTTAATATAAAATCTTTAAAATATTGAAAAGAAGGTTTAATTTGTTTTGATTCTTCTAACGACCAATTTTTGAGTGTTTCGTGATTTGTTGCGCAATAGAAATATAATTATTGTATCCCAATGCTCGACAGGTTGTTTGAGAATTTTTAATGTGTCGATACATTGTTGTGTGGTGTCAATAAGTTTTCGTAGACCAGTAGCTGATTCATGCTTTAGATTAGGCTGCGAAACTAATTTGCTTAAAGCTGCATTTGTTATTTCGGATTCATTTTCGTATCTGTCTTTAAGAATTTGCTACGCTGTGTCATAATTATCATTAGAAATTTGTATCGATTGCTACAAACCAAATGCTTCGCCTTTAGCTGAAAGTTTAAGATATTGTAATTTCTGGTTTTTACTTAAGTTATCGTTGTCTCCTACACAAGCTAAAAATAAATCTCTAAATGAAATCCAATCTATGAAATTTGATGTAAAAATTGGTAACTCAACTCGCGGTAATTTTACATTGTTTTGACAGTTTGAAGTTGAAGTATTTAAGGATATGTCATTGTTAGGTGCAGTATTGTTAATAGTTGTACTATTATTTTCGTTTAATTTTATCATTTCATCTTTTAAGGTTATTTTTAATTTATCTAGTTTTGAAAAGATATCATGCATTTCCTCTTCATAATTGTTATAATCTGTATCTTGACATGTACTTAGTATGTCAATATTCAATTTATCGATTTCGATGTTTAATGTGTTTACATTATTTTCATAGACTTCAATTATTGAAGTAGATATTGTTTGATTGTTAAGTAAGTCAATTTGATTAGTTAATCTAATTAGCTTACCTTTTAGGCTCCTTTTTTGCTGTAGTAATTGATCCATTGTGTTTGTGACCCTCTCAATTAACGAGTGCGATGGTTTCGCTTTTGATTTGCTATGATGCTTAGCGTTTTTTGTTGTTGATGAATTTCAGCTTTGATTGCGTTGTTTGACTAATCTATTTTGCTGCTGTAATCCTAGTTATCGAATGCTGGTTGTAAATACTCCTGCCTAGAACGGACCATAATGGTAGGACTCAAAGTACAGCAGCAAAAACATGACATGTTGTCTTTATGAATTTTTATTGAGAAAAGGTAAAGTTATAGACTACACACAATGGTTAAATACGAGTTTCTGCGCCATCTATTGGCGTTAATTTGAATTGAGGAATATTAGTGACGGAACAACCATACTGGATATTTTAAAACCAGTATGATACCATACTGGAAATTTTAAAACCAGTATAGCACCATGCGGGAAATTTTAAAACCAGTATAACATCATACGGGAAATTTTAAAACCAATGTAGTCCCATACTGGAAAGTGTAAAACCAGTATGGCACTATATCAGAAATTTAAAACCAGTAGTCGTAATTAAAATCGTAGTGGAAATTTTTATACCAGTTTTCAAACATACTGGGAGTTTTAAAGTAGTTTTAAAAAGTTTTAAAATATAGCTTCATTCTTAGTAAGTACATATTTTTCTGGAAATCTAACTGTTTTGACATTATCAAACTTCGTTTATTTATTTTTTTTATTATATACTTATTTCAAATACTTAATTTCTTTTTTTATTAGAATTCTCAACGTATATATCAAGGGTGGTGAAAGTGTACATTTTCTATATACATTAATTGAAAAAATACATATTTAAAAATATTAAAATCATTTTATAATTTTGAAGAAAAAGGAAGTTTTTGAGTAAGATTTTTACACATTTTAACTACTTTAAAATCTGCTTAAAGTCTTTTAAATGTTAGTAATTTTCTAAGAAAAGTAATTTAATAATAGATTGTGTTTTTAGTCGTTTATTATTTATTTACTCATTTATTTTTTGATTTACAAAATTTATTTTAATCAAAGTCATGATGACAAAAGAATATTATTAATTGTATCACTTTAAATTTTATTATAAATTGTTTTTTTTTATTTATTTATTATATTAGAATTTATTCTAGAACAATGTTATTCCCAACCGAAACTAATTTATCAATTCGAGAAATATATTAATTAGTTCAGGCTTCAAACAACTTCGTAGCAAAGGAAATATGTTTACATAAATTAAAAATTGATATAAAATCTTAACTTTTTACCTTCAAACATAAAACTCTCCTTCATTAATTTATAAATTTCAGTCCGTTTTTGAAATTTGTAATTAATAAATTTAAATCATAAAACAAAATAAACTTTTTTTGAATGAAATAAATAAATTTGCTTTGTTACTATATAGTTAATTCAATTGAATCTATAAAAGAGAAAAAGTGCGATTAATTCAGAAACGAATGGGAACCACGAAAAGACGAGAATCGACTTTTAGTCGTTCGTTAAATCTATCGAGCTAGCGTGAAGCAATGAATTCGTTCGTTAAATCTATATCACGCTAGCTGATCTATACAGCTCAGTTTTTCTAGTTCTTTCCGTTAGTCTGTCTGAACTTCACAGCCAACTAATCTTGTTTACATCATGGAAGCATCGTGGGAAGAATGGCGTTATATTTTAGTAAGTGCATTTTTCTCTTTATTTCTTTGCTTTTATTTGCATCTCTGTTAGTTACAATAATGTTAAAACGTATGCTTCAGTAATATTTTAAGTAATCAAGACATATATATTATTCTTGAATTATTACTGCATGTGCATTTGATATGGGGTTCATTGCATTGAGACTCCATTGCATGAGAAGAAAGTATTTTTAATGTTTTTTCCTGGGTTTCTTAATGAAACTTTAATTGAAATAATTCTCTTTTTACATAAATTCTCATTAATATCACCGTTATTGACAAATTAATTATTTGTTTAGTTTTATATAATATTTGGAAACTTCGCGTTATATAATTAAGTGTTAATCTCAAATTCTTTTGTTATTTTTAATGTTTAATTTTATTTTAAAGCATTTAATTATAATTATATTTTATTAACTGTTGGTACCATGAAGTTTCAGTTAAACTAAAATAACATTTTAAAAACAAAGTAGTTGATACTTAAAAGTTTGATATTACTGCCTAGTTAATAGTGTAGATATATTTTGTAATTGTATAATTTCTAAATCAATTTTTTTTTTCAGAAATGATTTGGAAAACAGCCTATTATTTTTATTTCAATAGAGGTATGTTTTTCTTGTTCTTGACATATTCAACATGCAAACTATTATAGAATTTTTTTT